TTTAGACATAGGTAGTATTTTTTCTCGATTTTTTTTTTGTTTTCTTCTTTACGGACCTCTCTGCTCATTTTCGGTAAACCTATTACAGAACATTTGAGGAAAGTCTCATTTTCCTAAACGATTCGGAAGAACTACAAAATATTTTTGCCGAGTACACGACCGGTGCTGGCGCCTTCGGTGGATCATCCTCGCTGAACGCGTCGTTGGCGCCAATGCGGACGCTGCGGGCCGCGGTGCCGGCGGGGCGGGCAGGGGGTTTCTCTCTCTCCCTATCGCGGCCGCGGGGAGTAACGGATGTGCATCTCTCAAATGATTTCTGATTGATTTCTCTCTCCTCCCCGCGCACGCTCGATTGGCGCATTCAGTCGCGCGGGAAAGGAAAGAAAAACTCGTCATTATCCGCAATCACGCGCGGCGGAGCCTAGGCGGTGCGGAGGGAAGGAGGACGACGCCAATAGATCTGCAGAGCCGAGCTTCTCACATCGGCAGCGTCGTTTAGGGCAATGTTGGTCCGCAGCGGGCCGTCCGCTGTGCGGGCTGCTGTGCTGGGTAGACCCCGGAGAATTTCGCAGGTATACCTCACCGCATGCTACCATGTGAGCGGGCTTGCCTACCTGAGGAGAACAGGGGGTACCTACCTACCCCGACTCTACCGATGGCGAGAGACGACTGACCGGCATAAAAATTAAAAGCTGTCACTAATAACTCTCAGCGGGCCATGGAGGCATTTGAGGCATTTTTCGTGTCGTCAGAGAGCTCGCATTTCTTTCAGTTTGAACATAACTTCTTGTCCGTTTGCTCATCATCCCTCAACCATATCGTCTCCAGCGGCGCCAGCTTTTATACGCTAGACGCTCACATGGTACATATGAAATCACAACCAACAATAGCTCGAGTTTGATTAAATGCTCCGGGCGGCTGGTCGTTGCCTGCTCCTGGAAGGCAAACACACCTGCCCCGCACCCCGCACCCCGCCTCCCTTCCCCTCGGCGGGTCCCAGGCCAGCGTGGGAGGCGCGGCCGCACGGCCTGCACCTCCGCTCTGCATAGGCCAAAGGCGCCGACTGGACTATTGGCAGAACCCGCCGTCTATTTCCAGGTAGCATCCCGAGAATGGCTCGGCCGACCTGCCGGGCCCTGCAGGTCGGGCGTGGCGTGGCGCTAATGGCATGCATACTACGTGAGTTGGGTACACTGCTCCGTGCATCCGTGGCAGGTGGAAGGGAATCCCAAACTCGGGCAGAAGAGTCGGGTGCGGCGGAGGCGTTTCCCGGCGGAGGGATCCAGTGCGGGAGACAAGAAGAGGGGAGAGAGAGAGAAAAAACACGAAGAAACAAACGATACGCACTGCTCTCGTATAGCCGCGCGAGGAATTGTTCGACGAGACAAGCCACGCCGCGCGTTCGTGTGGCGTGTGAAAGCCGAGCGAAAGCCTCCCATGTCCATCCTCTGTTCTTCTCTTTTCCATTGACTTGACTAACTGGCCGAGCGCAAACCTCACATATATGATATGACAGCCAGCCGGAGCGAAAGCCTCCCATCCCATCTCGTGCCACGACCGCCCACGCCCTCCGGCTCCAGACTAGCGAAAGCCCCCCCCCCCTACTCCCGCCCAGGACCCTCGGAAGGACGAAGGGCGATGCATTAAGTCAGCAGCGAGCCCTTCATTATCTCGGAAACAGGCGAACAAATAAACGCATCGCTCTGAGCTGTGTAATGAATGTAGTCGTCGCGATGGGTAGACCACATTCTTCTCATTGCTCGTCCCTGTTCTGTCTTGTCCTGCGCGCCGCGCGCCCGCGGCCCGGTGGGACCCGGCGGGGCGAGGCGACCCGCGAACCACCGACGGCGGCGGCAGCGCGGCAGGCCGCTTCTGCCCCTGTCTCTCTCCCTCTGTCTCTGCTTCTCCCCCCCCCCCTCTCTCTCTCTCGCTCTGTGTGTGTCTCTATCTGTCTCTGTCTCTCCCCCCCTTCCCCCCAGTCTCTCCCTCTCTCTCTCTCTCCGCTTCTCTGTGTCTCTCTCGGATGCACTTCGTTTCCCGCACCCTAAGAGTCCTCGTGAGACCCAACAGCCTGTCACGCCCTGCCACAGCACAGCACGCCCCGCCCCG